CAAGGATACACAAACAGGGACACTTAAGGCCTGGCTCGAATCGGATGAAGTCACTGATCCTAAATAAAGACTGAAATACTACTGCTACTCAAATGCTACTTGTCTCCAACAGCTGTGTTAATGTTTAGAGGCCAAAAGCAGTGTCACTTGACTTTTATCTGTGTGTGTGTGCGTGAGAGTGTGAATGTGCTGGTGTAAATGAGAGTTTAAACTGGTTACACATCTCCTACTTAAAAGGGAAGTGAGTGGACACCCTGTCCAGCACCATCACCTCCCACCAGAACAGCGACCCGCACTCAAACTGCCCTGCCTTATGCCTTCTTTCACATGCAGACGCTTGACAAAAATCGTACAAGACAGAGGTCCACCTTGAAGACATCGGACTCATTCATCCTGCCCACTGTTGTTTTTCTATGGCAGAGTGTCATAGGAATGAAAGGTATCAGTGAAATTGTTCCTTTTTTTTTTTATCTTTTTATCTTTTTTTGAGGAAAACTATCCTCATGTTGCACCCATCCAAGCTTGGAAACATGAAATATGTTAGATTTACAAGCTGGAGTCCAATGAAGATGAAGCCCACAGTTACCGCAGTTATTGGTATTATGGGTGGGTGGGTCCTTCGCACAGACATTGCAAGGTCGCATTACCTGTTTAATCGCCTATTTCTGCAGAAGCGTGAGCATATTGGAGTAATAAATCACAATATATATGAGATACTAAACGATTTGCAACACTATTATAAAGATAATATCAATAATATCTAGAGGAAACTAGAAAATAAGAAATAAAATAAGAAACTTGTAGTTTCTTATTTTATTTAAATGCCATAAAGAAGCCAGTCTGCATCTTACCATCTATATTTTCTCTGTCGCTGATGTGCTGGAGGTTGCAACCCGTGTCTTCGCGACTCAGCTCCGGCTCGGGCCGGTAGGGCTCCAGCCTGGAGTGGTTGCTTCTCCGGTGTTTGGGGCTCGACGACACGCAGCAGGAGGTTGTATTGCCCATGTTTGCGAAAGCAGCTTTCGGTTGTATTCCTCAAGCCCAACTCCACCCGGCAGGCTTTCTCCCTGCTGTTGCTGCTAGCCTTACTACAAGAGGAAAAAACGGGGCGGTAACGCGGAGACGGGACCCCGGTGCAAACGAGCTTTGCCCTGGTACAATTTGCGTTACACGCCCTTCTCTCGCGTCCACGGCACGCTTAGTTAAACAAATGGAGCCATTGAGAGCTACTAAAAAAAAAAAGAAAAAGAAAAAAAACCCGCCAAGGTTGGCTAATGAAAAAGAAAAGCAGCTAAATGTCCACTTCCAAACCTCCAGGCGAGGGGAGGTAGTGCCCCTGGATAGCAGGCTTCGGTATCGCTGTCGACTCCCTCGCCCTGTAATTCCTCTCTGAGCTTGCGTTTACTCTCTGAGACACATTTTCCGAGCACTGTTACTCTACAACGATACGGATATAAGAACATGGCACTTGAGCTGGTCGGAGAGGAAGATGTTTTTGCTCTCAGCGCTACATGGTTGCCAGAGTACTGTAGACTGCTGCTGCTGCTACATCCGCTGTCGTGTTGCTTTCAGGTACTACAAGTACAGTCATATTTTCGGCAACCAAAGTTGCTTAAGCAGTTTCGAATTAGGGGCCTTTAATGGCCAGAAAAGAAAGCATTTGTGATTATAAAGAAATCGAGGGATAAAAGTAACTCCCGAGGTAAAAGTGCGATTTGATTTTTATTTAAAGTTGCTTTAAAAAAATTTTGGTTCACCTTTTCCTTTGCAAGGCTTTTTCTTTTTTTTAAAATTTCCCGGTTCCTTGCGGTTCTTAACCTTTTTTTTTAAAAAAACACTGCGCTGTGGCTGTGATGGAAAAGGTTCCGGTTCAAGTGGGTAGTTACAACCGTGTAATAAATGCTCAATTATAATACCGTCTACAGGATACAACCAAGGAAACTAAGGAATGTAATACAACGTAATGACGCTACGTTTCGTTACCCCATTTTTTAACCGATATTTTTATGCAGTTGTTGGTGTATCTGTAAACTTAAAATAGAAAGCAGTTCATTTTGCTTGAAAAGGTGAATGAACTGTACTGTTTCCCTGGTTATGACTTGTTATGGGCACAAACACAGACGCCTGTCCACACCCGTGTTTGTGTACAGTAAATTACTTGATCTTGACTAATGACTGGCAAACCCATACGGGTTAATCAAATATCTTTGATTTTTGTAGTATTATCTGGATTTTTTTTTCTGGTTGGGGTTTGGGAATGCAAACAAAGTGAAGCCCTGAAGAATAATAGCCAGTTCAATCAGGACGTTTCTTCAAATGTACGACAATGTGTATTTGTAAACCGAGGCTGGAAAAATGAGAAAAAAAATCCTGTTTGCAGGATTGTATAGACTGAGATGACCAGGCATGATGCTGTAGTGCAGCCTGCTGGTACTGTACATGCACTGCATTTTATGACAAGCTTATCTAAATTTTTAAAAACATGTATTTTGTAATTTGATCTTCTTTTTCATTTCTTTTCCCCCCTACCATTTACCAAGATTACAGACTGTGCTGTGCTTTTTATTCTATGAATGCAGTGTGGAAGCATTCATGGCAGGATTTTGGATGATTAGTCACTTCAATAAAGCCCATGGTATGTTTTAATTAGGATGTAAGATGTACCCGCAGAAAGCATTTGATCTGATAGCATAGGTCAGGTATGCAAATGCAGTATTTAAACTCAAAGCAGCTGTATTATACTGTTCCCAAATAGTGGATTCTTTTCAAGTGTTTAGAGACTGGACAGGAATATGGTTTCACAATAGGCCCAGGTGCAAGGCTGGTCTCAGTGATACTGGATTCTTTCCTTTGTTGCTTTGTTACTAGGTCTCTGAGGCAGATTACACATAGGAGTGACACAAGCACTGCACAATCAAGATCCCTCATTGCTATCCACGAGTCCCTTTTTTCTCCTTCCATCCTGTAAGCTGGTATAAATATCTTAATATTTTCCTTTTTAGAGCAACAATTTCTGAATTTGCTAAGCATGAGAATAGCGTTACTAAAGAGAGCAGGCAAATATTTCCTTTCCGTTGGCACATCTGTGTTCCACTGGCTGTGGTTTAAGAAAATGTGCTTAAGAGCACTCTCTAATCTTCCATTCGTCAATTAAAAGTGCAGCTCTTCCACAAAATGTCTGTCACCTGCAAAAATGCAACAAAAGAGGGGAAAGGACTGTGCTTTATTAGTGACAGTCCCAGTATTAAGGTGAGCCGTCACCATCAGCGAAGAACAGAACGTCATGTTCCAAGCAGAAACCCAAGGCTGAGACTCAGAGTGGCAGCGTCTGCTTTAATGGAACTTTAGCTTGTAAGGTCCGTGAGGCCTTTCGTCTTATCTCTCTAAGCCCACACTAATAACAAATGAACTCCCGTTGACTAGTTTTAAGTCATATGCAGGTCTTTAACATTTACTGCATGTGAGAAGAAAGACACAGAGAGGCTGAACGAGAATTTTATTGAAGTGAAAACATTCCAAAAGGCCTTCACATGGGTTCTGACGATTCTTAACGTGCTGCAGAGGAGAAATGATGCACCGGGAATCCAGCAGCTAATATGTCATTAAAAACAAATGAGCAACTGTCTCACGACCAGAGTGTTAAATTTAATCACAGATACAGATGCAAAGGGAACAAAAAAAGGAAACGACAAGTTAATGCAAATGCTTCAAAAACAGACATTTTTTCTAAACATACACTCAACTATGCTGCAATATCCCAAAAATATAGAACAATGTGCAGCAAAAAATGCCCAAATAAATAATAATGCCACTGGTTAGAGGCATCGGACCTTCTAAAATCAAACAAAATTTTAAAAATAAAACCACAAACTTTGTGAAGCCCTGAAGATCACATGAACCCTGATGTTTGAAAATTTGGCTTCTGGCAGCATTTTTCTCCCTGAACAGTCCTCCAAACAAAGCCATCATAAAGACTACCAATTAATGGAGTATTTGAACAGACCCACATCATAATATTGTAAAGGAATGTAAAACGCAATGCGGTTAAGGTAACGCAAAGCCATTGCTGACACGTTCAGGTTTAACCTCCGCTATTGGACATTCTGATCCACACAGGGCCTACTTCCTCTAGAAGCCTGGCTCACAAATACTCACTGATATCTCCTGAAACAAGCTGCATATTTCAGCTGCTGCTGGTGCATGGATAATTCAGAGCCTGACACACTGACATCATCGTGTAAACACATTTAATCAGCAACTACAAAGGGTGTGTGTTCGTTGGAGTGCGTGTATATGTACACAGAGTCCTCAAGATGGGCCACAGAAACAAACCGACACAGTCCACACAATCCCGATTCCCCATCACTCCACTTTGTGACGATAGATGTCTTTTAAGGCTCTAAGCTCTTCTATCAGAGTCTTATTTTGATTTTCCAGCACGGCCACGCGATTCTCAAGGCACCTGACATATTCCTTCTTCTTCCGCCGACACTCACGGGCAGCTTCCCTGGAAGCAGTGGACAACAGAGGACTCATTAAAGCTGTTAATCTGAGAAGAACACATACAAAAAGCCTACCACGAAAAGGTTAAGATATCTTTTTGAAGGCGTTACCATTCAAAAACCTCCAGGCTAGGTCTTTTACATCACAGCCAACCAAAGGAGGATCTTACAAAGTAAACAACGATTCACTGATAAATAGCCGATCATAGTAAAATCACAGTGTAGGGAAGAAATGCAGGAAAAAAGACAACCAAGAAAAGCTGGCATTGGAAACAGCTGTTTACAGCAAGCAGATAGTCAACGCACAACGTAGAGTGCTCTGTTTGCTCACCGGCAAATCACTATTATCCACATAAACGCGTATACGTATGTATGCGCACAAAATTTGACATTTTAACCTCCGTGTGAGACGACTCACTCCACACACCAAACACAGGACGCAGAGAAGGTAACGTGAGGACAAATAAGAATTAGAAGATAAAGACTGTGGATGAAGGGGAATTATGTGGCGAACTAATGACGTGCTATAAAACTTATTATTACATGGACATGTCGTGTATTATCATGCAGATGACTGTATATTATACAACAGACACAGCAGGAATGAGATAAGATATATTCCCCAAGGATATACTTTGAATCTATCCAGCTGACACCGGATTATTTAAATTGTTGTTGTTACTGTGTTGGCACGGATGCCTTATTATCTGGGTTATATTGTCCGAGAGAATGAATGTAAGCACTCCTCTATACCTGTTCTTCATCAAGCGCAGCTCCCTCTTCTGTAAGGCATCCTCTAGAAGTGTCTGGGAGCTGTGAGCGCCGGGCCCTGCGACACCCTGAGGGAGGCTGGAAGTGGGGTTACGCAGCTGGCAGCCAGTCAGGTCACCAGGGGCGCCTAGGGAGACGCAAAACAACACATCAGACTCAGGGATTTGGTCATACGTTTTAGGCTAATAGTTTACATCCTTAATAGACAAAATGTTTATTAATGAAACTGTATTTTGCAGTTTTTCATGTAAAATAAAAGTTCAGTATGACACTTGATTGAGTAGCTTTGCAGAACCACTTTTAGCAGCAAGAACTTTAAGTAATCATTGCCTGACTTTATCTGCCTGTTACATCATTTGATTAGCAGCGGCTTACTGCTACTTACCCTCTTAATTCCTATGGACACAGTAAGGCGACGCAGTAAGGCTGTACTCATGAAAGATGACATTTACTGATGGCAGGAATCAGCTGTTATGTCATGTAAATTTTTCGCTTGCTTAAATTATTAAATCAAAAGCTGGAAGACTTTTGTTGCAGTTGGTTGAGTAGCTACAGTTGCTATCACAGCTACTGGAGTTAGAGATCCAGCAACAAGCAACATCTTTAACTCTTTTCCCCATAAAGACAGCATTTCACGACCCTTAGTGATGAGTTTTGACACCTCAGTCTATGTCAATAAAGACCAGCAGGCATTCAAAGGGGTAAAGAGTTAAAACTGGTAGTGTGAAAAGTGTTTTGTGGAACAGCCTCTTTCAAACCCAAAATCATAATCTAATTTTCACATTTTTTTCAACATCAACATGTTATCTATTTATTTTAGATCGACAAAAATAAAGCGCAGCGTGAATAATCCTGGAACGCGTTGTAACTGCAAGTTCCCATTAAACAGAATTCAGATTTTAAATGGTTTTATCACACGCTCACCCAGTATGATGCTTAAAGCTATAATAAGAAACAGAAATAATTAGAGCATGAGTGACTCGGTTGTATGTATTCTGACAAAATCTTATCGAATCAAGCCAGCGTGTGATGCTGTGAGAGAAGAGACGGTGCCATTCCTGTCCACTTCTCCTTCTGTTCATTGTTTGGTCAGCACCAGTAGGACTCATTAATTCTCTGACATGTTGGAACTGCGAAAAGAGCCGTATGTAATCACAGTGGGGCCAGCAGCTGACGTCAGTGTGCATCTTATTCATTGGGTGCATGTGCATGTCGCTGCTGGGGGGCCTGTTCCAGGAAAAGCAGTGACGTCAGCCAGTGCAGCTATGTGCTCTGAGTGGGCAGAGCGCTGAAGCATTTCACAAAGAGAGAGAGAGAGGCAGAGAAACAGAGAGACACAGGCAGAGCCTGTGAAAATGTTTCCTCCGGAGCAATCTTGATGCAGCCGACCGTGGAAAACGAGAATAATCTCTATTTCTTTCGGATCATCCGGTACTTTTCTCAGAGGACCCTACTTGTGACGTTATTTTGAGGAAGTTACTGATCTTAACTGAGCTGGTTTGGGGAAAAACTGACTGAAAACATATAAAGAAGAAAAAATCAAGCATCACAATAATCTCTTTTTTTCCAGTCTAAAAGCTTCTAACTTATTTTAACTGTGAATTTTACCACTCACCATAAACTCACGAATCTCACTAACTCTTAAAGAGACAGTCCAACAAAACAACAACCTGAAAACGCACTCTCACAAAGATCCGGTAATAAAAGAGACATACCTGTTTCTGTCTCATCCCCAGTCACAGCCATACTGTATACGCTCCCAGCTTTTCCAAGAGAAACTGCCCCTTTCAGAGTCTTCTCTCTCACTGAAACATTACCACGGCCAACAGTGGAGCTGTGTGTGTGCAATTTACAATTAGAGGCATTGACATCACCATGACATCACTGGCCTCCTGATGTCAACAGTATGGTTTGCTCTCTCCCGACACAGCGCTATGAGTCAGGGGCTCTGCTGTTTGTCTTTGGAGAGGAATTTTTTATCAGCTAGACTGAAGCGCCTCTTCAGCTCCGAAGCCCACAGGCAGCTGAAGGCACAGAGTACGACTGCAATACTGAAAACCTGCTTTCTCAGAGCAGAACAAAAAGTCACCAGTGTGTGATAGGAACTCTTATTTTATGTCAAATATTCACATTTGTACTTTTATTCAAATTAGATCTATACAGTAAATAGACAGGCTACTGATATCGATAAAGTTATCGATTGAACAAATATAAATAGCTCTTGTTCTTCTGCCACAGCACCTTCCATACCCCAAGCTAAAGGAGTTGGCTCCCCCTGCAGGCATCACAGAGGTATGATCTAAGTAATTGGAATGATGTAAAAGCTTGATGACGTCTGTACGTGTGCATTTCTCCCAAATGTCTATGTTACTTTCTCAGTCATTTGAGTTGGCGGGGAGTTACTGGTAGAGGAAGCACTTAGATCCTTGACTTAAGTTGAATTTGCAACCTCACTGTAAAAACACACAGTGAGAGAAGTGAAAGCTAAAGTGTTAAGTATTCAAATGGACTTTTACACTGTCCAATTTTGGATCATTATGTGATTAACACACAGAGAGATGTACATAAACATGCTTCGGGTCGAGGTGGAGTTCGTTCTTTCTTTTTATGCTCTTTTGGAAATGCATCATATTTCAAGATCATCGCAAATTTTGCAGGGCGGTAAGTCATCAGTAGCGCGGAGAATAAAGAGTTGTTGGTATGGAGGCCAAATATAGACTATGAATAATGAAACCTATCTGCTGGACTTTGAATCTCATCTATCTTTCAGATGATTTAAGATAAAAATGTAAATATAAAGACACCGATCTATCTGATTTTCTCTTATTGGTGTTGTTCCTGCATCATCATAATAATGCTGGTCCAGTATCAACATGGAAACTGACCAATCACATTGCTGTGTGATAGCTTTGGAATGCGGTGGAAAATGGGAAAAAAAGCTTTTGCTTATATAAAACTCTCTTCTGAAACAAATTTGGTCAATTATGTTGGTTTGCTTGTGATAGTTTTTATAGCATTAGCTAACTTCTTGGCTTATGCTAACTGAATTCTCAGACAACCTGATTGGTCAGTTGATGGACTGGCGAGGCGTCTGCAGTAGTGCGGATGCTCTACCTGTGGTGAAAAGAGACCTAAGCATGAAAGCAAAGCTGCCGATATACAGGTTGGTCTACATTCCAACCCTTGCCTATGGTGACGAGTTGTGGCTAGTGATCAAAAGAATGAGATCACAGATACAAACAGTCCAGTTTCCTCAGGAGAGTGGCCGGGCTCAGCCTTAGCAATAGCAGCTCGGTCATTTTTGAGGAACTCAGAGTAGAGCTGCTACTCGTCCACACAGAAAGAAGGCAGTTATGGTGGTTCAACATCTTACTGAGATGCTTCCTAGCTACAATCTACGTGAGGTTTTCCAGCCATCATAGTGGGACGAGGCATGGGGGCAGAGCCACAACATGCTGGGGAGATTACATTCCTCAGCTGGCTTAGGAAAGCCTTGATCTCCCCAGAAGAGCTGGAGGAGGTGGCTGGGGAGAAGGATGTCTGACTGTTGCTCTTCCTACCTGGACCTGGATAAGTGTCAGAAAGTGCATAGATGGATGGAAGATATAAAACTGAGTGAAAAGGGTAACTTTCCTCACTCTGAAAAGTGTAGACAATGCCGGTTACAAAGGCTGGTTACAGAAAAGGTGATGGGACAACTTCATTTGGCTTCCCCAGTAAACACTTTCCTCCCAATCCCTAGTGAGCATAGAGTATGCAAATCTACCAACAGACAAGCATACAATATTATCAGATAGTCAATTCTGATGTGTCTCATAGATGGTAACTACATACAAGGGCCTTATATTGACTATAACAAACAGTGTGTGGTTTTCCTGGAGCTTAATATTGTCCTCTGGCATTTATACAGTTCGTGTAGGAAATGCCTGTTTTTGCTTCTACAGTTCTTAGTCACCCAGTGTAGCAACTCAGCAGCAGCACAAGGGCAATCAGCTGCTACCTAGAAGTGATAGCATATCATTGAGAGCATCTCTGCTGTACTCACAGGTTTCTGGTGGAGGACTTGGTGTGCGTGTGCTGGCCGTGGCAATTGATGGATGGAGGATCTGTGTACTGATTTGGAAGTTGACCGGAGTGCCTGTTAAAAAATAAAAATTGAGGTTTAATGCATCGCTGCTTTGTTTATCAGTTGCAGCAGGAACATTCCCTATCTGTTTCTTGTTATAACAGAGATGTAAAAAACTGCAGGAATCCAGAGGAAGCGGCACCATCCTGTCACTACTTTTGCTTTTGACACAAAAACACACACATGAGTCTGGAAATAAGGGGTTACCTGGTAAGGAATACGCAGTATAGGGGTGCTGTGCCCAATTCTGGATCCCTCCACAGCACTGAAGAGAAGTGCTTAATGGATACTGGAGTGTTTGTGTCCTAGTCATAGCCATAGATGGCAGGTTCTCTACCTTATTAGGCATTATCGTGGCGGGAACTCTTTGAAAAAGCCCATCTGGGATAGTAAAAAGGCCCATTACATATTAGCAGTTTGAGATGTCACAGGTTCAAATTATCTGCTCTAATTGTACTGAACTCATGTGATGGTAATGTTGTTTAGCTGGAGTGTGGTAGTGATTTGTAAACTGTGTGATCACGGCATGCTTACTGTTCTGTTTGCAGCTCTTTTGCTGGTCAACGGGCAGCTGATATTTCTCCTCTGTCTTCATTTGATTTATTCTGAGAGGCACTGGTTCAATCGTAAATCACGTGTTTGTGCTAGTTCCTGGGGTAAACAGAAGAAGGCAACGTTACTCACATTAAGAAAATGAAATGAGAGTTGCATCTATGAGCAAACCATTGCCACATTAGCACCTCTTAGATGTACTTAGATTCTAGAGATATTGCACTTTAGTAAAATATGACTGTGACTGTTTAGTCAGGCCCCCAGAAGAGATGACTCAACCAGTTCCTGGAGTTTATGAACCACTTCTCTATTTAGCCTCAGTGTTCAGCTTTGCATTATGCAAATCAGGGGTTTGAAGTATAGTGTGTGGTTTGCAGTAAGATACACAGTACTGTGAAAATCAGGTCTTGAGCCACACCTCATTTCTTTGTATTTTTCTTGGAAAATAGGGAATGGCTGCAGTGATTTACTGAAACGTGTCTAAACATGCATGAAAATTGAAAAAGAAAAAAAGTTATTTTCACGAACAGGCTTCTTAAAGGATATTCAAAGCTTGTCTTTTTATTTTTCTCTCTTTTTGTTCCCTTCCCTGTCAAGATGCTTCATCCATAATGTCCAGTTCCAGTCTGTGGGGAGGCCAATCCATGACTGTTAGTGTTGCATTGTGTTTTTCTATCCAGGTATGCTTTTACTGTCACAGTCCAGTTATTATGTAATTTGGCAAACCTTTCTTATCTTAAGAATGGCTTTTTGACAGTCACCCTTCCACTTCTTCTTCTGTTCTCTATTTTGCAGTATCATTTTTAAAGACTGCAAGCACCATGCTGAGCTATGCTAAGCAATGCTAAATTTTCAGCTAATAGCTCTTTAGCTCTTTTTCAAAAATGCTATTTTATTCCTGTCAAACTGTGTTATATCTGTATTTTGTATTTTTTTTTTTTTTTTTCTCATAAATGGGACCAATTTACATGTTATTATACGTGTTATAAATTACTGGAGTGCAAATAAAAAAGTGTCTAAATATCTATTTTCAAATTGCTTTTTTTTTTTTTTGCTGTTTTCACCTCTTCATCATTCATAGGTTAAAAAAATCATCTGAAAATTATCAGGTTAATTATCAGACTAAATTGAAAATGAATTCAAAAAGCAACCAAAGAAACACTTTGAAAGACCCTTTTAAGCTTATTGGAAGTAAAATATAAAGAAAAGAGGGGTACCTAAAGACTTTTGCACTGCCCTGTAAGTAACATATGCCTCAGATTTTGGTTAACAAAAATGGAACAAAAAGTGGACGACAGACACTGGCTCAGTTGAGATTTTGTTTCATATCAATAACCTTTTGCTGCGATCAGCTGCCACATATTTGGTAACCAATGTAAAAAGATGTTAAATGGTCATGTAAAAGACAATATCATGTTGGTCAAGCGTCCTGGCAACTAACTGATATTTTAGCACATGTAAAGCATTTAGCTAGAACTAGAACTTGTTAGTAGACAAATATATTGTGCCGACATTGTACGGCCTGTATGTACACAATGCTGTATTTGTGTGAATGAGTCTTAAAAGAAACCCTTACCTTAGTAGATGATGATGATTAACTGACGCAGTTATTTTTTTTATTTTTATTTTTTTTTTGGCGTGTGTATCAGTGAGCCCGTTAGGCAGTGTTTTTTTTCTCTTGCCCATTCTGATTGGTTGATTGGCTCAGTACGAACTGGAATTGTTATTATTCGAATACTGAGCTGTTAGTATGGTAAACATATCAAGTGCAAGAGAACGCCATTTTCAAACAGTTTACAAGTTTTATTTGATTAATTTTCTTCCACAATTATCAGGTTTGTGTCGGCTTTTACTGTGAGAATTGATTGATTGATCATACTTTATTCATCTCGAGGGAAATTGGAGCTTGGCTCTTGAGCTGCCAGGTAAAGTTGCTGCATATTTGTGAGACCTAAGGTAAACAAACAAACAAACAAACAAACAAAAAAACACGTTTTCTAATATCAAAACATTTCCGTTGATAACCCAGAGAATATGAAGAATATGACATTTTTGATGGTCAATCCCTAAGCAGTCGCCGTAGTTTGGGCGATACCATTTTAAATGGGTGTTCTCGTGATGTTGATTTAAGGGGTTTATTTTTATTACAAACAGATTTGGAATAAATTATTTAAAATATTAAACTATTATTCAATACAAGTAACCACAGGGAATGGCAACAGTATATTTTATGACTATTACCCATCTTGATAATACATCGGCATCTAACAAAATGGTATAATCCAAGAGGTAGGGAAGACCTGTAAGTGAGACAAATCAAGCCTGTGACAGCGGAGAAATCGGAGTTTTATAACAAGTAATTACTGTACAGGGGTAAGTACTATCCAGGAGTCCTCGCTCGACCTTAGTGAACTGTTTTGTTTAACAGCATTACCGTGTTCTGCCGAGCTGTCAGTGTAAATGTGGGAAAATTGTGAAGAAGATGACAGTTTTGCTAGCGGTAGCTGAGCTACTGTTAGCTTGCTGCTAGCCGACTGCTAGCTGATTCACCAAAACTGTGCGGACTTGAGCAGGAAGAAGTTAGCTTGCTAGAAGCTAGTTAGCCTTTTAGCTCGCCATCCTATTTTGGGATTGGCATTCCGCTAGCTAGTAACCTTAACTTAGCTACGTTAAGCTCGACTACGAGAGGAATGTTTATTAATAACGCTTCGTTTTGTATGTCGGACATCTGTAAATGTGAAGTGGCTGATGATGTAGCAGTGTTTTCTGTGACGTGAAATTAAGTGATATGAATGACAAGAAATAACACTGGGCCCAGTTTCACCTTCTGGTCATGTAATCTGTGATGGTACCGGCGCACACCCTAGAAGCTGTTACTAATATTGCTAGGTAACGTGTTTAAGGATGTCTGCTACGTGATGCTGACACCAGTGCGTTCAAGTTTGACCGCTAATAATGACACAGTGAACTTGTCTATTCTGTTGATCTCATCTGTTGCTGCCAAACTGATGTGAGCAGGCTGATGGTGTTACACTCATTTCTGTTTGTCTACATATAAATTTTGCCCTAAGAGTAATGCTGTTTGCGTATTTGTATTATGGTTCATGTGAAAGTAAAAATAAACAGTCGAGAGAATGCACCTTGCCATGATTTCTTTTATGCTGCCATTGCTACTGAGGCTGAGTTGACTGTTACTGTCATATATAAAGCAAACTACACAGTTGCATCATTAATAAAGAAACGAAAGCCAGGAACTAAGCCCCTTATTTCTTCCTTTTTAAAATCTCTTTGCACACTCCTCTTTTCATGTGCATTTTTCTGTCGTTCTCTTAGGCTAAAAGAGAAACTGTACAATGTCCTTAAAGCCACGGATGGTAAATTTTGACGAGACATGGAACAAGTTACTGACAACGATCAAGGCTGTGGTGATGCTCGACTATGTGGAAAGAGCCACATGGAATGATAGGTTCTCGTATCCTTTACCAGCTCGCTTCATGTTTAACCAATTTAGCCTGCAACATGAGTTTTTTTTTTTAAGTTTCAGCACTGGGTTTGAGTGTAAATACAGATTTGCCAAAGCATTGTTGTCATTGTAAAATACATTTGCGTTTATTCATTTTTAATAGCAAATGTGTGGATATTTACATCCCTCACATTCTTCCTGAACATTGTCACCAGTGACATCTATGCCCTGTGTGTTGCATACCCAGAGCCTTTAGGTGAAAAGTTATACACAGAGACCAAAATCTTTCTTGAGAACCATGTTCGTCAGTTGTACAAGGTAAGCAAAAGTTCTTCTGTGCTTTTTCTTTGCTTATCACATCGCATTTCCTCTAAAGCTGCCACGCTTATGTGTGTATTTCAGAAAGTTCTGGAATCAGAGGAGAAGGTTTTAGTGATGTACCACAGATACTGGGATGAGTACAGTAAAGGAGCAGACTACATGGACTGCTTGTACAGGTAACATTTCTGCTTTTTATGTGTGTCTGTAATTTCAGTTTCAATTTGATATTAGTGAGTCACAGAGTTGATTTACACCATTTACTCCAGTCTTTTTTTCTTTTTATCTATAAACAAAATGATTGGACAGCCTGTGTTGTTTGAGGTTGCCAGATTCAAACCATAAACGTGTCTGTTTTTAACTGAAGGCATGAGTTCACCCAGGCTTCTGTGTTTGTCAAGTCCACTTGTTTGTTTAGCGTTCCTTAATGCAAAGTGTACTAATTCTGTTCCTTTACAAGGCTCAGTATTCCTGCCTTTAGTTTGTCCCTTAAAATATTACTTTGAATGTCGTTGTGTGAGGTGCCAAGAGGCTTTCGGTGTGTCTTTATTCACTCTAAATCAATATTCCCTTGTAGAGCTCTTAGATCTATTTTTATGCGTGCTACCCACCAGACTCCCTGTGCATACATATGCTTTTGTAATTTATGTCGGTCCAAGCAAGAGAGAAGAAAGTAAGGCGCTTGGCTTTAGTAGTGAATCTCTTCAGTTTTTAGCATCAAAGAGAGATGCTTATTATTCTTAACACATCAATTTGTGAAATGCATGTGTAGTTGCGTTCAGTTTGGACTGAATCAGAACAGACTTTGTTAACTTGTTAGTTTAGCTTGCTGGCTTGAGCAGGTGACTGATGAGCTGTAAGACTACTGCAGAGTTCTGGGTTCAAATCCACCTCGGGCCATTTGCTGTGCGTCTTCTCATCCTCTCTCTCTTTCTCAGCTTTCCTGGCAATTCTGAACTATCCTGTTATAATCAAAGGAACAAAAAATGCCCTAAAATATATATAAAAAAGAACAACAACAGCAATAATGACTATTTTATTTCTACAGTTCTGCTCTCCAGCAGTTAGTGGTACTCAACACTAGCTGGTATATTGGCAGGTTGACTTACAGTCAGAGTGAATGAGAGAAACCAGGCTGAATGTCACAGGCTCAGCTGTGAAATATAATATATAATATAATAGCTGTGCGCTATTTAAGGTGGACTAAATTAGCCATCATGGATTAGAGCTTGAAAGCAGTTGTCAGTTTGTCTGAAAGTTGTCCTGCTGTGCTAACTCAGTTTTTGCTTTGTTTGTCAAATACTAAGGATTCATTCATTTGTACGCAACTCAGGCTACAATCCTCCTACCTCCCATTCAGCTTCCTGACTGACTTGTGGCTTCACTAGTGCTGAAACGTTAAGAAATGTTCAGCACTTCAAGTGCTTGTGGCCAGCTAGTCAAATCATTTTGAGTAATGAAAGAGTGATGTAGCTGCTTGTCCAGCTTATCGATTTACATCAAAATTAATAATAAATGAACAATATGGTGAGTAATTTCCCTGAAGCAGCGTATACAATATGAATTCTCTCTGATAGCAAATGCATTCAGAATTTGATTATCTGTCATATAAATTAGTTGTACTACAAACTGAGACGTCCTTGTAGCAGTGTTTGGTACTACTTGGTAAATAAATAAATAAAACTTTTCCACTGATGTAAGTGTTAACTCTGGACTATTACTGACTCATTTACTGTTATCTTGTTCTTTTCATAGACATTACAGGACACAAGGGCAAACTCATTTTTGCTCAGTACTCAAATGTATCTGTTATAAACTGCTACCAGTAAGAGTAGATGATACAGTTGGGTAATGAAAATGTGAATAGACACATTAAAAACACCAACGCTTTGTTAATATTTTAACATTCTCCCAAAACAATTTTGAACAAATTGTGGAAAAATTCAAAAACTTTTGACTACACAAAGTACTATTGCTGCTTTGATTGTAGTTTAATTACTTAATCTACAGTTTTTCAGTTCTTTTCTTCAGTTTTTTTGTGTTTTTCAGTCAGAGCAAATTGCTTCAGTGTCTGAAATGTAAAGGGCAGTGGACACTGCCAGAGGATCTGCATCTGGATTTCTTAAACTTTATCACTGTGAATGATCCAAACAACAGATCCAAAGATAAACAAATCTTTCTGAGCATATCCTGTTATGTGAGACCACCAAGCATTATTAATGTGTTTGACTAGTGTTGATAACCTTTTTAAAATCATTTTCTTGTCATTATTTTCGTAAATAATAAATAATGAAAGTGCAACTAGACTAAAAAAGCTTTTACAAACTATAATGGGAGCATTGATTACTGTTTGGATATTGTGTTTCACTCATTAATCTTGAGATAAATAACCACAGAGTGAGCAACCAAGAGGTTAACCAAACAATACCAGTAGCACACAGCGTCTATGAGTGAATGAAAACAGGATGCATTTGTCAGCAGCATTTTAGTGTTTCTTCAGAAAACATGAGGCCTGTGTTTATTCCTCCTTCCGATCTTTGCGATGCTTTGAACATCTTGAATATCTCCCCACATTGTTCAGGTACCTCAACACTCAGTTCATCAAGAAGAACAAACTAACAGAAGCTGACCTGCAGTATGGCTACGGGGGAGTGGACATGAATGAGCCGCTTATGGAGATCGGAGAGGTACTAAGCATTGGCATGAAAAGCTTTGCTGCACATCCATTTTTCAATGGGCGCTGGGATTATATTAGATGGAGATAAGGGGAGTGCTTATAATGGACAGATTGGCAGGATTCAGTATCAGTGTTCTGTTGCATAGGCCTACATTTCTCCTTTCACTACCCTTCTAGATGTAGGATTTGTCTGTGCTGAAGCAGAACTAATATGCTGTCTTTTTGTTTTTCTTTGCAGTTGGCATTAGATATGTG